TTAGATCTAATGCAGCGCCGAGCGACTTCCTCCTCAACATAAACGCCAAATGATGTAACATAGAACAACATAAACAGGAACGCAAAGTCGCCCGACGTCACCGGCAACCATCAGGACGCGCGCTCTTCCGCCATGTGACGGCGATCTTCCTCCTAACCTGTGACAGCCGCCATCGCCAATTTACAACCGCCAATGACCCGTCCACCTTCAGGCGGCCCCTTTGAACACAGAGCCATTTTTGTGCTTTTTTGCACACAAAAAAAAAATCATTTTAGGCCACTCCCCCCCCCCAAATATGATAAATGTTTTCTGAAAGCAGAGACCCTAGAGAATAAAATAGCGAGCGTCTATATATATATATATATTTTTTTTTTTTATGCCATACAATAGTAGCAGTTTATGAAACACAAAAAAAAAATACAATAATTTTAGGGCAAACAAACACAAAAAAACAATAATTTTAGGGCAAGCAAATGCAAAAAAAAAAAAAAAAAAAAAAAAAAAACCCAATAATTTTAGGGCAAACAAACGCAAAAAAAAACAAAAAAAACAAAAATTTTAGGGCAAACAAATGCAAAAAATAAATAAATAATTTTAGGGCAAACAAACGCAAAAAACGAAAATTTATTTTAGGGCAAACAAATGCAAAAAAAAAAAAACAATAATTTTAGGGCAAACAAACGCAAAAAACCCCCAAAAAACAATAATTTTAGGGCAAGCAAATGCAAAAAAAAAAAAAAAAAAAAAAACCCAATAATTTTAGGGCAAACAAACGCAAAAAAAAAACAAAAAACAAAAATTTTAGGGCAAACAAATGCAAAAAATAAATAAATAATTTTAGGGCAAACAAACGCAAAAAACAAAAAATTATTTTAGGGCAAACAAACGCAAAAAAACAAAAAACAATAATTTTAGGGCAAACAAACGCAAAAAACCCCCAAAAAACAATAATTTTAGGGCAAACAAATGCAAAAAAAAAAAAAAAATAAAATAATTTTAGGGCAAACAAACGCAAATAAAAAAAAAACAAAAAAACAAAAAAAACAAAAAATTATTTTAGGGCAAACAAACGCAAAAAAAATATATATTAATATTTTAGCGCAAACAAATGCAAAACAAAAAAAACAAAAAACAATAATTTTAGGGCAAACAAACGCAAAAAAAATAACCCCAATAATTTTAGGGCAAACAAACGCAAAAAAACCCCCAAAAAAACAATAATTTTAGGGCAAACAGACGCAAAAAAAACAACAAAAAAATTATTTTAGGGCAAACAAATGCAAAAAAAAAAAAACAAAAACCAATAATTTTAGGGCAAAGAAATGAGGTTAGGCTGAGTAAATAGATACCCAAAGCTCAAAATCGCATGCGCCTGGGAAATGGCTCCAAGCTTTAGTACCCCATGTTTTCCGTAGGCGACCCTTTAAAAAGCCCCTTGCAGGCCATCGGCTTAGGTCCCATTCACACTTGTGCGACTTGTCATGCGACATGTTTTCCAATGAGTACCGTTCACACCGATGCGACCTAAACTTCAGAGTAGTTCATCCACTACTTTTTGGATCGACTTTCATGAGACTTGAAGTCTGTAGACTTCGATGTTAACCCTCAAAAGTCGCATGAAAGTCGCACCTGAATCTTCATGCGTGTGATAGTTGTGCAGCAATTGGCCATTATCTTTGGTGAAAGCCAAAGTAGCTTCCAAGTCACGCCCAACCAAAGTTGCATCAAAGTTGCGTCAAAGTTGCACTACAAAGTCATGCAACTTTGGAGTTGCACAAGTACTCTCGAAGGTCACATGATAGTCGCACCTGAATCTTATGGCAACTGTTGCACAACTGTCGAATGTATCAGATTCAGCTGCGACTATCATGCGACCTTTGAGGGTACAAAGTTGCGTGACTTAGTAGGGCAACTTTGACCCAACAGTTGTGTAACAGCTGCCCATTACCTTTGGTGAAAGCCAAAGTAGCATCCAAGTCGCACCCATCCAAAGCTGCATCAAAGTTGCGTCAAAGCTGCATCAAAGTTGCACTACAAAGTCACGCAACTTTGGAGTTACACAAGTACCCTCGATGGTCGCATGATAGTTCGCACCTGAATCTCATACATGTGACAGTTGTGTAACAGTTGCCCATTATCTTTGGTGAAAGCCAAAGTAGCATCCAAGTCGCACCCAACCAAAATTGCGTCAGAGTTGCATCAAAGTTGCCCTAAGTAACGCACCTTTGGAGTACCCTCGAAGGTCGCATTATAGTCGAACCTCAATCTTATATATGCGACAGTTGTGCAATATCTTTGGTCAAAGCCAAAGTAGCACCCAAGTCGCACCCATCTAAAGTTGCGTCAAAGTCGCCCTACTAAGTCACGAAACTTTGGAGTCACACACATAAGTACCCTTGAAGGTCGCATGATAGTCACACCTGAATCTTTATACATTTGACAGTTGTGCAACGGTTGCCCAATATCTTTGGTGAAAGCCAAAGTAGCATCCAAGTTGCACCCTTTCAAAGTTGCATCAAAGTTGCATTACTAAGTCACGCAGCTTTGGAGTCGCACAAGTACCCTCAAAGGTCGCATGATAGTGGAACCTGAATCTTTATGTGTGCGACAGTTTTACAACAGTTGGCCATTATCTTTGGTCAAAGCCAAAGTAGCACCCAAGTCGCACCATCCAACGCTGCATCAAAGTTGCACTACAAAGTCATGCAACTTTGGAGTCACATAAGTACCCTCGTAGGTCGCATGATAGTCGCACCTGAATCTCATACATGTGACAGTTGTGCAACAGTTGCCAATTATCTTTGGTGAAAGCCAAAGTAGCATCCAAGTCACATCCATTCAAAGTTGCAACAAAGTTGCACTACAAAGTCACAAAACTTTGGAGTCACACACACATACCCTCAACCCTCAAAGGTCGCATGATAGTCGCACCTGAATCTTATACATTCAACAGTTGTGTAAAACAGTTGCCCATTATTTTGGTGAAAGCCAAAGTAGCATCCAAGTAGTACCCATCCAAAGTTGCATTAAAGTCGCCCTACTAAGTCACAAAACTTTGGAGTGACACACATACCCTCAAAGGTCGCATGATAGTCACGCCTGAATCTTATACATGCAACAGTTGCCCGTTATCTTTGGTGAAAGCCAAAGTAGCATCCAAGTCGCAACCCATCCAAAGTTGCATTAAAGTTGCCCTACTAAGTCACACAACTTTGGAGTACCCTCAAAGGTCGCATGATAGTCGCACCTGAATCTTATAAATACCAGAGTTATGCAGCGATTGCCCATTATCTTTGACACAACTTTGGATGGGTGCGACTTGGATGCTACTTTGGCTTTCACCAAAGTTGCATCAAAATTGCATCAACGTTGCGTCAAACTTACTCCAAAGCTGCAAACCAAAGTCACGCGCAACTTTGGAGTTGCACAAGTACCTCAACCACCAAAGGTCGCATGATAGTCGCACCTGAATCTTATATATGCGACAGTTGTGCAACAGCTGCCCATTTATCATTGGTCAAAGCCAAAGTAGCATCCAAGTCGCTCCCAACAAACAAAGTTGCATCAAAGTTGCACTACAAAGTCACGCAACTTTGGGAGTCACACAAGTACCCTCGTAGGTCGCATGATAGTCACACCTGAATCTCATACATGAGACAGTTGTGGAACAGCTGCCCATTATCATTGGTGAAAGACAAAGTAGCATCCAAGTCGCTCCCATCCAAAGTTGCGTCAAAGTTGCAGAAATTTGGAGTCGCACAAGTGTGAATGGAGCCTCAGAGTTCAATGTTATGAAGGAATTATATTCATTTCTGACTAATATCATTTATAATCGCATATTTATTAATATTGGAATTGTTCATCTCATTCCGGGGAGGGCTGCGGTACAGGGATGGATGTTCACTGATCTCCCTCCCCTCTACGCGGTGACACCCGCCATGCTGGTCCCGGGTCCACAGATGGGCGTGCGGTGCCCAGGAAATAGTGGGACCGGCACTGACAGGGACTAGGGTCACATATATGTGGTGCGGTTTTTCCTGTTTCTTCAGGCAGCATTCTCAGTCAGTTTCTCTCAGTCAGTTTTCTCTCAGTCAGTTTCTCTCAGTCAGTTTCTCTCAGTCAGTTTCTCTCAGTCAGTTTCTCTCTTGATATGGACCAGAGATGGGAGATGAGGACCAAAGCAACGACTTGCAGAAAAGTACTGGAAGCGTCTTATCTGAGGACAGATACGCCATTTCTATTCAAGTCTATGTACAAATCGCACCGCACTGCACTAAACTCGCACACGGAGTCACACTGCATATACACTATATTGCCCAAAGTATTGCCCCCGCCCTCCGTATCATATGACTCAGGTGTTCCAATCCCCACCCAATCATGTGATTCAGGTGTTTCCAATCCCCCCTCCATATCATGTGATTCATGTGTTCCAATCCCCTCCCAATCATGTGATTCAGGTGTTTCCAATCCCCTCCATATCATGTGATTCAGGTGTCCCAATCCCCTCCATAGCATGTGATTCAGGGTGTTCCAATCCCCTCCCAATCATGTGATTCAGGTGTTCCAATCCCCTCCATATCATGTGATTCAGGTGTTCCAATCCCCTCCATATCATGTGATTCAGGTGTTCCAAACCCCTCCCAATCATGTGATTCAGGTGTTCCAATCCCCTCCATATCATGTGATTCAGGTGTTCCAATCCCCTCCCAATCATGTGATTTAGGTGTTCCAATCCCCTCCATATCATGTGATTCAGGTGTTCCAATCCCCTCCATATCATGTGATTCAGGTGTTCCAAACCCCTCCCAATCATGTGATTCAGGTGTTCCAATCCCCTCCGTATCATATGACTCAGGTGTTCCAATCCCCACCCAATCATGTGATTCAGGTGTTCCAATCCCCTCCATATCATGTGATTCAGGTGTTCCAATCCCCTCCATATCATGTGATTCAGGTGTTCCAATCCCCTCCATATCATGTGACTCAGGTGTTCCAATCCCCCTCCCAATCATGTGATTCAAGTGTTCCAATCCCTTCCATATCATATGACTCAGGTGTTCTAATCCCCTCCATATCATGTGATTCAGGTGTTCCAATCCCCTCCCAACCATGTGATTCATATGTTCCAATCCCCTCCCAATCATGTGATTCAGGTGTTCCAATCCCCTCCATATCATGTGATTCATGTGTTCCAATACCCTCCCAATCATGTGATTCAGGTGTTCCAATCCCCTCCATATCATGTGATTCAGGTGTCCCAATCCCCTCCATAGCATGTGATTCAGGTGTTCCAATCCCCCCCCAATCATGTGATTCAGGTGTTCCAATCCCCTCCATATCATGTGATTCAGGTGTTCCAATCCCCTCCATATCATGTGATTCAGGTGTTCCAAACCCCTCCCAATCATGTGATGCAGGTGTTCCAATCCCCTCCATATCATGTGATTCAGGTGTTCCAATCCCCTCCCAATCATGTGATTCAGGTGTTCCAATCCCCTCCCAATCATGTGATTCAGGTGTTCCAATCCCCTCCATATCATGTGATTCAGGTGTCCCAATCCCCTCCATAGCATGTGATTCAGGTGTTCCAATCCCCCCCCCAATCATGTGATTCAGGTGTTTCCAATCCCCTCCATATCATGTGATGCAGGTGTTCCAATCCCCTCCATAGCATGTGATTCAGGTGTTCCAATCCCCTCCCAATCATGTGATTCAGGTGTTCCAATCCCCTCCATATCATGTGATTCAGGTGTTCCAATCCCCTCCATATCATATGACTCAGGTGTTCCAATCCCCTCCATATCATGTGATTCAAGTGTTCCAATCCCCTCCATATCATATGACTCAGGTTTTCTAATCCCCTCCATATCATGTGATTCAGGTGTTCCAATCCTCTCCCAATCATGTGATTCAGGTGTTCCAATCCCCTCCCAACCATGTGATTCATGTGTTCCAATCCCCTCCCCAATCATGTGATTCAGGTGTTCCAATCCCCTCCATATCATGTGATTCATGTGTTCCAATCCCCTCCCAATCATGTGATTCAGGTGTTCCAATCCCCTCCATATCATGTGATTCAGGTGTCCCAATCCCCTCCATAGCATGTGATTCAGGTGTTCCAATCCCCTCCCAATCATGTGATTCAGGTGTTCCAATCCCCTCCATATCATGTGATTCAGGTGTTCCAATCCCCTCCATATCATGTGATTCAGGTGTTCCAAACCCCTCCCAATCATGTGATTCAGGTGTTCCAATCCCCTCCATATCATGTGATTCAGGTGTTCCAATCCCCTCCCAATCATGTGATTTAGGTGTTCCAATCCCCTCCCAATCATGTGATTCAGGTGTTCCAATCCCCTCCATATCATGTGATTAAGGTGTTCCAATCCCCTCCCAATCATGTGATTCAGGTGTTCCAATCCCCTCCATATCATGTGATTCAGGTGTTCCAATCCCCTCCATATCATGTGATTCAGGTGTTCCAATCCCCTCCATATCATGTGATTCAGGTGTTCCAATGCCCTCCCAATCATGTGATTCAGGTGTTCCAATCCCCTCCCAATCATGTGATTCAGGTGTTCCCCTCCCCCTTCATGGACACAGGTGTATGCCTAGGCACGCAGACGGCTTCTACAAACATTGGTGAAAGAATGGGTCGCTCTCAGGAGCTCAGTGACTCCAAGCGTGGTCCCGTGATAGGTGGCCACCTGGGCAATAAGTCCATCCGTGACATTTCCTGGCTACTAAATATTCCACGCTCAACTGTTAGTGGGATTATAAACAAAGTGGAAGCAACTGGAAACAACAGCCACTCAGCCACCAAGTGGTAGGCCACGTCACATGACAGGGCGGGGTCAGCGCATGCTGAAGCGCACAGTGCCCAGAAGTCACCAACTGTCTGCAGAGTCAATAGCTAAAGACCTCCAAACTTGGTGTGGCCTTCAGATGAGCCCAACAACAGTGCGTAGAGAGCTTCATGGAATGGGTTTCCATGGCCGAGCAGCTGCATCCAAGCCTTCCATCACCAAGTGCAATGCAAAGCGTCGGATGCCGTGGTGTAAAGCACGCCGCCACTGGACTCTAGAGCAGAGGGAGACGTGTTCTCTGGAGTGACCAATCATGCTTCTCTGTCTGGCAATCCGATGGACGTGTCTGAGTTTTGGTGGTGGCCAGGAGAGCGGTACTTGCCTGACTGCATTGTGTCAAGTGTAAAGTTTGGTGGAGGCTGGATTATGGTGTGGGGTTGTTTTTCAGGGGTTGGGCTTGGCCCCCTAGTTCCAGTAAAGGGAACTTTTAAGGCGTAATTTTGGACAATTTCATGCTCCCAACTTTGTTGGAAGAGTTTGGGGATGTCCCCTTCCTGTTCCAACATGACTGCGCACCAGTGCACAAAGCAAGGTCCATAAAGACATGGAGGAGCCAGTTTGGGGTGGAGGAACTTGACTGGCCTGCACAGAGTCCTGACCTCAACCCCATAGAACACCTTTGGGATGAATTAGAGTGGAGACTGCGAGCCAGACCTCCTCCCCCGACATCAGTGCCTGACCTGACAAATGTGCTTCTGGAAGAATGGTCCAACCTTCCCATAGACACCCTCCCTAATCCTTGTGGACGGCCATCCCAGAAGAGTTGAAGCTGTTATAGCTGCAAAGGGCGGGGCCAACTCAATATTGAACCCTACGGACTATGACTGGGGGGCCAATAAAGGTCATGTGCGTGGAAAGGGCGGGGCCAACTCAATATTGAACCCTACGGACTAAGACTGGGGGGGCCATTAAAGGTCATGTGCATGGAAAGGCCGGCGGTCCAATAGGTTTGCCAATCTAGTGTTGGATGCCCGTTTAGGCCTAGGGGCCACAAAAAGGTCCCGCAGCCTCCCTTCAGGCTGTACCTGGTCCACGCAGCCTCTTTTCTCCTACGCTCCAGTGGACGCATGCGCCCCCCCCCCCCCCCCCCGACATCATCAAGCCCAGTGCAGGCCATACACGGTTCAAATTATGAACGATTTTTCATCTGAAAATCAAAAACGTTGTTCGCTCGGTAATCCGACGGCGCCATCAATGATTTCGAAAATCGGCCGATCGAGTCATAAAGTTCACCCATATAACAGGCGAATCTTCTGTTCCTTCCAGGTCACGGTTCATGCGAATATTCTTTTCGGAAAGACGATCGTACGATTTGACCAACATTGAGTCGAAAAATCGGTCGTTTTTCCAACATGCTCGATCACCAAAAAGGGGAGGAACCATGAAAATCGTCCGGTGCCATTGACCCCACTAACAGAGCGAAAATTGTCCGATTATTCTTAGGTCTGATTTTCGGACAAAAAAAATCGGTCGAAGTTCGACCCATGTATGGCCGGCCTAAGTATATTAGTTTGTGATATATGGCTTTTGCATGGCTTTGCTGGGGGTACTCTGGCTTCCTCACACACCCCAAAGGCTTGCTGGTATCTTGATTGGCTCTTGCCTAATTGGCCCTAATAGGTGTATGTATGCACGTGGTATAGGGGCCTTAGATTGTCAGCTCCGGGGACCAGGGACTGATTTGAATGTACAGGATTAGTATCACTACTATACACAGGAGGGATTGTTATTCAGCAGGAAGGCGGGGGGCGCAGTTTTCGGCATTTCTGAATGTATATTACGGCAGAGATCAATGGCTGGGGTATGCTGGAGGGTCCATTGATGATGTCTGCGAGGGGATTTGTTGTTGCTTGGGGGGTGGATCTATTGTTGATGGAAGGGCCTATCATAGCCGGGGCGTATTTGCTGAGAGGCAAACAAGGCTGTTGCCTAGGGTGTTTTTTTTTTTCAGGGGGGCGATGCCAGATCAGCAGAAGTGACACAGTGGCAGCCAGTGACTGGGGAGCAGTGGAGCCAGAGGATCCATGAGTGCTGGAACGGAGGAGGATGAGACAGACTGGGGGCTGCTGGAGGCTGTCCGATTGCCCTGCTGGAGGGTGTCTGGGGGAGGGGGGGAGGCTAATTCCTAATCGGTGTGTTGCCCTGGGGGGGGGGGGGGGGTCATATGTTGCTGGGGAGGAATCTACTGTTGCTGGCTGCTGGAGGATTATGTACGGTTGACTGTTGGCTGCTGTAAGATCTGATTTGGCTGGTGTGGGTCCTATTGTTCCTGTGGTGGATCTATTTTGCTGTGGTTTTATTTTGTTGCTGAGGGTCTATTGTTTCTTGGGGAATCTATTGTTCCTGTGGTTGATCTATTGTTGCTGGGGTTATTTTGTTGCAGGGAATCTATTCTTCCTGTGGAGGATCGATTGTTCCGTGGTTGATCTATTGTTGCTGGGGTTATTTTTGTTGCAGAGAGGGTCTATTGTTTCTTGGGGAATCTATTGTTCCTGCGTTGGAATCTATTGTTGCTGGGGTATTTTGTTGAAGAGGGTCTATTGTTTCTTGGGGAATCTATTGTTCCTGTGGTTGATCTATTGTTGCTGGGAGTTATTTTGTTGCAGGGAATCTATTGTTGTTCTTTTAGAGGATCTATTGTTGCTAGGGGAACGGTTTTATTTTGTTGCAGGGGGTCTATTGTTCCTGTGGTGGATCTATTGTTGCTGGGGTTATTTTGTTGCAGAGGGTCTATTGTTTCTTGGGAATCTATTGTTCCTGTGGTTGATGTATTGTTGCTGGGGGTTATTTTGTTGCAGGGAATCTATTGTTTCCTGTGGAGGATCTATTGTTGCTGGGGGATGGTTATTTTGTTGCAGAGGGTCTATTGTTCCTGTGGTTGATCTTTGTTTTGCTGGGGGAGGGGTAATTTTTTCCTTGGCAGA